CCGCCAGCGGGGTGGGAGCGTGGCCGCAGACGAGCTACAAAGCAGAAAGGAGTCAGAAGCCAGCAGTGTGTCTATCAGAAGAGCCCCGACTCGCAGGGTTCTCGACGCCCGCGCCGCTGCTCTGCACCCCCGCTGTTTGGCGGGGTTTCCTTCCGGGGCAGCGTTTTCAGCCAGGAGGAGAACTGGAGGGACGGTGTGAGGCTGCCTAACCGAGGGAGCCACACGTGTGAGAGGCGCGGGCTGCCCCTGCCTGTTGTGTAGCAGCTGCTGCGGTCAGATGCTGCGAAGATAAGCCCTGGTGCATGCAACGAGAATAACAGCCCTCGAGACCTGGAAGTTCCCTCACTTCATAAAAGGGCAAACTGAGATCCGAGAGGTGGAGTCGCTAGAAGGAGGTCCCAGAGGTGCGAGTGGAAGCCGGAACTAGCAGTCAGGCCTCCACAGTCCATTGCACAGCCTTTTAGGATCTGCTGGCTGCAAGTGACCCTCTGCCTGATTATAAGTGATTTAAACGAAGCCAACATGTGTGATCGCCCATGTTGCATAGGCGTGTGTGTTCAGCTCTGCGGGTCTGTGGTTTCAGCTTGCAGGGTGGGCCGCATGTGGCTGCACAGACGGGGTGGCACAACTCCAGGGGTGCCAGTTGATGTGTGTTGTCTGAACGGCACACCCTGCAGTGGGACTGTGTACAGCCTGCGTGTCTGCATGGCGTGGCTCTGATTAGGGGCTTGAATGAGTGGCTCAGTGGCGTCAGGGCAGCTTCTCTGGGGCTCTCTCTGTCTTTCCCTCTTAGTTGCAAGATGGCTGCAGCTACTCCCACCTCATGTAGTCACATGTTCACGTCTAAGCAGAAAGGAAGGGTGCATACAAAAAGAAGTGTTCTGCTCAAGCCGTGCTCTTCTCGGGGTAAAACCTTTTCCAGAGCATCTAACAGAGTTCCCTAATATCTTAATGCCCAGGGTGGGTCATGTGGCCACCTCTAAACCAACCTGTTGGCAGGGGATTGTGCTCCCCACGAGGGCTTGTGAAAGCAGGACTCTGCTAGCGAGATTCGAGGGGTAATTCGTGCTGGGAAGGGACCAGTGGGCTCTGCTACACTGAAGATGGAGTGATGTATCCTAACGCATCTGGTGCTGAAGGAAACACGGACGTCAGGGCGCATTCGGAAAATAAGACGATCACAGGTCATCTGAGATGGGCAGTTCACGCCTGCTCTCTCCATGGCAGTGTGGTGGTGTTTCCCCCTGCATTTGCCTGACTTGAGGAGAAGCGTGCCTTCCCCTGGGGTAAGTGCAAGCTCTTCCCGTTACGTCTTAGCAGCTGTCCAGGTCTTCCACCAGCAGGGGCGCGCACTCTGGAATGATTTTGTTTTCTGGGGGAGCACTGGGGGCAAGTGCACCCCTACCTGTTTTCAGGGAGGGGAGGAGGAACTGATACCTGCCTCTCTAGATGCAAAGCAAGAGAACGACCCCCACGCTTGCTGCAACAACCAGACCAAATGCCGGATGCACACAGCCTGTGAACCACGAGGTTTTAGACTGGAGGACACAGATATATCAGTGATTCAATTCCCGCCCTCCAGCGACTCACAGTTCACTGCAGCCATTTGTGCATGAAAGTTGTGTTAACTAAATATGAAGTCACGCAGTCACCCAGCTGACACTGGAAGTTGTTTCACACCTAAGGCAGAGGGGAAGCCGGGAGCCCAGGCTGCAGGGGGGTGGACAGGGGAGCCAAGGAGAGGGGCCTCACTCCTGTGGTAATATGTGGGTGCCTGCTGGGAGAGGGGGGAGCAAGGAGTCATGAGGAGGGTGCTTCAGACACTGTGTCTGTACCATTACGTATTTCCACTGTGGCTTCCAGCTGCAGATAAGATGGCATTAGCAGAGAGTAGTCTTAGGGAGACCCCTAAAGGAGTTTCTAGTGTTATGGCTGATCCTCAGAGACGTGTGGGTCTTTGCAATATCCTCACCAGGAGGAAAGTGAAGTTCCATTGACAAGATTTCCTTTCAAGGGTGTCAGCAAACTTCTCCTCTGGCAAAGTGCCTTCCCTCCTTCTATCTACCCATACAAGCTGACAGAGAAGAAAGTGGAAAGTGAAATTCCTAAAAATGTGGTGACCACTGAACTCAAGGCATCTTTGGAATTGGAGTCCTCTTGACGGAGGCAGTGTCTATATGATTTCTTTCCATTTTCCCTGAGTCTTTGAACCTGTGGGGACCATAAGTGGGAGGAGGCTGGAGAGGCTGGCTGTGAGGAATGACCCTCTCTGGAGCTCATCCTTGGGGCTCCTGTGGAAGAGATCTCCCTGCAGTCCTCGGCTCCCCCTCTCCTCTTCACTGGGAGGCACAGTCGGGTCCACGGGTGGAAATTCAGGACCTTGAATCTGAGTGGGGTCCAGGGATGGACACACTAGTATGACAGACGGTGGCAACTCTCATTGTGATGCTCTTTGGCCACATGCGGTCTAGGGCTTGATGACCAACCGTGATCTCGCCAGACAGATGACATTGAGATTCAGCCTGTCGGTTCATTGCTGAGCAGTGATTATGGAACTGGCTGCATCTGGGGCGGAGCGGAGCTCCCCCTTTCTGGGGTCAGCTTCAGAGATGAGGCACATGGCTCAGGAGTCCTTTGTTGAGGCTCCATGTGAGAGCGCTGGGGCAGGCCTGGTGGTGCTGTGCTCCTGGCCCTGCCCCCGCATTTGGTGGCGTTGGAGTCAGGCAGCCTGGTGTCAGGCTGGGAACCCCAGGCCAGGATGGATGCTGTAGCCCCTGGGGCCTCTGGACTCAGGGCAGGGCAGCCCTGTCCCTCAACAGGGGAGTGGCCTCCAGCCTCCATTCAAGGGAGAGGGTTAGACTGGGTACCATAATTATGGATGTTCCTCCTCTACCCTCACACAGGAACAGAGCTGCTATTACAATCCACCCCCCTCCCCGTTCCTAGCCCCTCTCTGCCTCGTGTCCAGCCTTGCTTAGCATTCCTGTGGGGAGATGGAGCCTGTGTCAGGAGCTTCAGCCACTGACTTGCATTAAACTCACCCCAAGGTTATAGAATGAAAGGCCAAGCAAGCCGTGCATGTGGGAACTGCCCCTGCTGTAGAGCATTCCTGGGGTGGATCTGGTGAGGACCATGATGACCAGTGTACCCGGAGAGTAGAGGGTTTGAACATATCCCAGTGTTCCCGTCTTCTCCACGCCACCTGGCCCACAGCAGAGTACCTTTGATAAAGTTGCCTTCTGGAATTGGGATTAATGTCAAACTTGCATATAAAATCATCTAGAGAGATGTTACTTTCATAAAGACAAATAAACAGATTTAAAAAGTAAACATCTCTGTAACACATCGTGACACGTCCATGACAGGAGGCTTTGGGGCACATCCTCAATGGGGTTCTGTTGGACAGTCTCTCCCCTTGTCCTTGCCACTCGTGAAACTCTGGCTCTTGCTGTTTTTGTAACAAAATAAATGCCGATTGAGACACACTCTCTAATATTTGAGCTAAGAGTCCCAAATTAAAATGTGTAAAAAAAATGTTTTTAAAAAGTTTCAAGTGTTGGGGCTGGCCTGGTGGCACAGTGGTTAAGTTCATGCTCTCCCCTTCTTCAGTGGCCTGGGGTTCACGGGTTCGGATCCCAGGCACGGACCTATGTTCTTCTCATCAAGACATGCTGTGGCAGGCGTCCCACATACAAAATAGAGGAAGATTGGCATGGGTGTTAGCTCAGCAACAATCTTCCTTAAGCAGAAAGAGGAGGATTGGCAACAGATGTTAGCTCAGGGCCAATCTTCCTCACCAAAAAAGAAAAGTTTAAAGTGTTAAAAAGTTATCAAATAAAAATAGATAAGCTAAACAAATTCTAAGTAAAAAAGGTAAACTTCTGTGTATAGGAATGTGTACAGTGTCTCTTCTTAACTTGACAGGGCCAATGCTTGGCTCTCTTTGACGGTTCCTGCATTCTCTGTGTTTAAATATCCTAGAGCATTTGTGCAATTTCACTACTCATTGATTTCCTAAGAGCCTTAGGGTCTGGAGTTCATCTGCTCTGCGGATTGCATGGTTCCTAGAGACACAGTTTTCTCTTTACACTTCTATGTTATGAGGGCCCTGGAAGGAGAGTTTCAAAGGGCTTCCCCTCTGAAGTTTTGTCTCTAGAGGAGAAGGACATGTCAATTTTGTCATTATCCAGGCCTGGCAGGTGGTGATGAGGACCGGCAGATGATGGGCCAGGCCATTTGCCAAGAACTGACATACACAATCAATGGTCCTAGGCTGATCCCTGCCAGCAGTAGGAAATCCCACCCCGTGTCCTACTTTAAAGCTCTTTGCCAGGGACAGGGAGTGAACTTTTCATTTGTATTGGTTGAGCTCGAAGGACCAGGGCGTGTTTGGGACTTGAAGTGAGCATGGGCAGGTGCAAGGAAGCTGCACTTTCCCCACCAGATTCCAAAGCATGTGTCTCCACACTTATCAGATGCAGCAGCAACCCAGAGCTGGAATCTCAGGGGAATGGGTAACGCTGGTGAAAATGTACACATATGTACCGTCAAGCACATGTGTGTCAATATTAACACACACAATCCTAAGTCATGGGTGTTTTTGTAGTCCAAAGGTCTGGATCCAAATCCCAGCTTTACCTCTTGGGAGTCTGACTTTGAAATGTTACCTAACAGTTTTCTGAGCCCCTTTCTTCACTAGTAAGATGGGAATATCAGGCCTTCTTATCTCAATGTGGGGCTATGAGAATCAAATGTGGGAATGTGTATGGGCCAATAAAATTTCATAGTTGCTAATGATGGTATACTTGTGATGGAAGGTTACTTCTTGACTCTGTATCTTTCTAATACATCCCTAGACCTGTAAGTCGCAATTGGTTCTTTTTCTGTTTGTACAACAAGTAAAATTTGGCACTGGGTTCCTGAAAATATGAATGGGTTCTTGGACTCACCCAGTTTTGTAAAAGATGGCTCAACCTTTCCCTTGTCTGTTTGCCCAACAGTGTGCCGTGTAAAAAGTGCGTGGTGGTTGGTAATGGAGGAGTTTTGAAGAATAAGACGTTAGGAGAAAAAATTGACTCCTATGATGTAATAATAAGGTAAATATATTTCCTATTTGCTAACCTGGAATTGTTTCAAAAGAATACGGTTTCCTACTTTAGTGCGGCTGCGTTTTAGAAGGAAGAGGCATTGCTTTGATGTGTGTGGGTACATTACACAACCTGGTCTCCCACTTGCTGGCCAGAGGAGGCCTAGATTTCAGGTCATTCGTTCAGCAAATATTTATGAAGTCCTCTTGATATGCCAGGCACAGTTGTAGCCAGAGGGGATAGAGCCATGAGTAAGAATAATGTTCTTGCTCCCTGTGGAGCTTCCATTCTAACGCGGGGAAGAAAACAGTAATAATTAAATAAGGAAATATAATAATAAATGCCATACAAACAATTAAAACATAATAATAGGGAATGATTGAGTGGCTACTTTAGAATGGATGACCACTTGGAGGAGGAGACAGCTAAGCTGGACCTACGTGACCACATAGTCCCAGCCATATGAAGACTAGGGAAAGCAGCAGGCAGAGAGAACGTTTACTGCGGGTCTTCAGGTGGATACGGTCCTGGGTTTGGGAGGAGCAGCAAGAAAACCAGTGAGGTAGGAGGGCAGCAGGCTGGGGACATGGTGCAGTCAGAAGCTGAAGAGGCAGGCAAAGAGCAGGCCATGAAGGACTTCGTAAACTAGGTTAGAGCTTGGATTTTATTTTAGGTACAACAGGAAACTTTTGAGGATTTTTAAGCCAGAGAGCAATTTGATCTGGTATGTCTTTAAAATATTCTGGCTGCAGCATGGACAATGGAATGTGAAGGACAAGGGTAGACATGAGGAGGCCAGTCGGGTGGCTGTATTCAGGTAGATGACGGTGGCTTGGAACAGGATTGCCATGGCAGAGAAGGAGGTAAGTGGATAGACTGAGATATGTTTTTGAGGTACAGTTATCAGGATTTGTTGATGTATTAGATGTGAGCAGAGATGGGAATAAAGGAAGCAAGGATACCTCCTCTAGGTTTTCAGTTTAGGAGATTGGCTGGATTGTGGTACCATTTATTGAGTTGGGGAAGACTAGGGTAGGAGCAGGTTTAGAGGAGAATCAAGATTTCTGTATGAACATGTTAGATTTGAGATGCTTATTAGATTTTCAGTGGATAAGTCGAGTAGGCAGTGGGATAAACGGTTAAAGTCTTGATGGCGAGCAGTCTATAAGCTGTATTTAAACGATGGACTGGGCAAGATTTCCCAGGGAGAGATTAAGAGAGAGAAGAGGGCCCAAGACTGAGCCTTAAAGTACTCAACACTTAGAGGTTGAGCAAAGAAAAAAGAGTAAAAGAGATGGAGAGGCTCCACCAGTGAGGTAGGAAGAGAGTCAGGAGAAGGTGCTCACAGTAGCCAAGAGAGCACAGTGTTTAAGACAGGGAGGAATCAACCATGTCCAGTGCTGGCGAGAGGTCATGCAAGATAGGGACAGAGTTCGCCATGGGGTTGGCAACCTGAAGCTCCTTGATTCTCTTGACAAAACAGACTTGGAGGCATGATGTGGGGAGAAGACTAACTGGAGTGGGTTGAGGATAGAATGACAGGTGAGAAAGTGGAGAAACCAGTACAGGCAACTCTTTTCAGAAATTGCGCTGTGGAGTTGAGAAATGAGATGGTAGCCAGAGATGGTTATGGAATCAAAGGAGGATTTTCTGTTTTGTTTCCTTTTATAACAATAGGAGATTCTAGAGTATACTGTAAACTGATGGAAATGAATAAAGAGATTAGTAGTAAAGAGAGGGGATGGGGTCTAGAGCACAAGAGTGGTTGACCCTCTGTAATGGAAATGAAACGGGGATTGTGGTGACAGCTACCAAGAGTCCCGTAGATGGAGTGGTGGGGCAAGGAGGACGTTTCTATCCCTATTTTCTCATTGAAAGGTTCCAGTCAGTAGTCATCTGGGGTAAGTTGTGTGTGTTGGGAATGGCTGTGACTCTTCTTTTGAAGAGTGGGAAGGCTTCACACTGGGGCAGTGCGTTAGGATGACCTGGCAGTGCTTGGGGGTTTGGTAGCTTATAAGCTGCCGAGGGTTTCTGCACAGCAAGGTCACTTTATGTTCTGTTTAATATCCATTTCGAGGAAGCTGTGAAAATTTATCACAAAACAATTTTGAAGCACTCACAAATTTCTTTACCTTTGGTGTCTAAAATCTGATCACCTAGAATCACAGCACGCCCTTGTGGGAAAATGCCAGAGGCACATTATGAAAAAAGTCATTTCAAGTGTTATTAAGACTGTCTTATATTACACAGTCAGTAGCAAAAGGGAAAACAGGATTTATCCTTGTAGGGGACACTGTTTTGGAAACAAAGCAGTCCTTTTCATAGCGTGCCTTTATAGTGTGTGCATAAACAGTGCATGTCTGACCTTGGCTTTGAGCGTATTCAAACCCAATAGTAGATCCTTTGTGGTTCTGTAGTTCGCTCTAGCAATAGACATTCATTTGGTTGAGACTGGGGTATAACACAGCAATTTTATATTGTTACTTTATTTCAGAGCGCAACAATTGTGATGGGTCTTCAGATCACCTTAACTGTGATTCTTGCCCGTCAGTCACTTAGACACGTGTCCATGTGCTCCATGACTGTGTCACCTTGGGCAAGTAACTTTGTCTCCCTGGACTCAGGGCCCTTCTCTGTAAATCCAATGGCTTCTGTCTAGATGTCCTCCAAGGTCTCTCTTAACTTTAGTATTCTGGGGTTCTGTGTTCCTATTTGTTTTATTTAGTCTTCGGTTTTCTTGGAGGTAAGACTTGATTATCAGGTGGCGCCACGATTAGTTTTCAAATACAAATGCAAGTTTCTGCCTTTGATCAAGCAGCTGCTTCATGGAAGGGAATTACTGCCTTGGTCATTATGTGTGAAAGGCTGACGGATGCCCGTTGGCTTCGGAGCCCTGGGAGCATGGCTGTTGATGTTGGTCCGGCTCAGGAGCCTCTGAGAACCTTGATGGGAATGGCTCGTCCTGCACTTGGTCTACATATCTTCTGTTTTCCTACCCACAGAATGAATAACGGTCCTGTTTTAGGACACGAAGAGGAAGTTGGGAGAAGGACAACCTTCCGACTTTTTTATCCAGAATCTGTTTTTTCAGATCCCAGTCACTATGATCCTAACACCACGGTGATTCTCACTGCTTTTAAGCCACTTGATTTAAAGTGGCTGTGGGAATTGTTGACGGGTGGCAAAATAGTAAGTCGGCAAAATTGATCTGCCTTCCGATTACCTTCAGTTTTTCTTCCATGAGAAAAAGGCAACCACAGTCTTTCATTTTCTGTATTCTTTATTTCAGAACACTAATGGTTTTTGGAAGAAACCAGCCTTAAACTTGATCTATAAACCTTATCAAATCAGAATATTGGATCCTTACATCATCAGAATGGCAGCTTATGAACTGCTTCATTTCCCAAGAGTGTTTCCCAAAAATCAGGTACGTGTTTTTCTTTGCACAGTTAGAAACTAAAGATCTGGCTGGGGTAGGACGGAGGGTCCCCAGGGCTCTCGGAAACTGTATGAGCCACAACTCCTGAGGTGGCTTCTGAGGGCCACGTCTGAGTTACTGAAATAAAATATCTGTGGATATTATCTTCATGTTTTTCAGGTTGGGAGGAAAAGAACCTTAAGTGGAGGGGGTTTACTGCCCCTGCGGGGCCTTTCTGGGGTCTCCTGCAAGCCCAGTGGCTCATCCTTCATAACCCCGTCTTCACTATTCTGCAGGGAGAAGGGTCTGACTGGGGGGTGACGGGCAGGCTGTACGCAGAGTAGCAGGCCTGGCTTTGGGACAAGGGCGTGGCTTTTCGGACTAAACAGAACTGTCTGAAGCACTCTGGTGAAAATATCCCAGGAAAGCCAGAGGAAGGACAATAAGGTAGTCCAGAAATGTTTCTGAGGTCATAGAGGAGACATTGGCACTGAGTTCTCAGGAAGTGGTAAAGTTAGAGCAATATTGAGAGCTCTTGAAACTCCAGGATCTTTAATTAAAAGGAATCTCGTTGACTGCGACTCTGTTTGTCAACATTCCCTTGAAACCAGTACTCTGTAGACCCTGCAGTGGCACAGAAATGGTTCCATCTGAAGCTTGAGTAGCTATGTAACATGCTACCTCAGCAGAAATGAGGTTTTCTCTTTTCGTAATCAGGGAACATCCAAAGAAATAAACACACATCATGTGTCTTTTCTTTAGCATGACGAAAACCTTCTGAAGTATTACATGCTTAAAATCAAACAACTTACAAAGGAATATAAAAAACAAAGGGAGTCAGTCTTTTCTTCTCCTTCCTGTATAACTCATATTATCTCCCAGGCTTTTTGCTTTTTATATCCTTCTAGACTATTTTCTGTGCATTTACAACACATACACTTTTTGTTCAGTATAATTGCTCGATATAATTGATTATACCACAGGTATTGTTCTGCTATTTATTCTCCTCCACTTAATTAACTATTCCCCTATTTATAGACACTTAGGTTTATAGCCAGCCTTTTTTCCTCTATAAATAATGTAGAAATGCATGAGCTTATAGAGATTTTCGGCACACCGTGTGATTTCTGTAGGATGGACTCCTGGAGGTGGAATTCCCAAGTTAAAAAGCATAAATACTTTAAATTTAAACCCTATTTCTTAGTTATTTTGAGGAAAGGACAGCTTCTGAATGTATGTTTTGTGACTTTTCAGCTCTTATTTTCCTGAGTGAGGTAAGATCAGATTTATCCCTTGCTTTTTGTTTTAGGTAGTGTCTTTAACTCCAAAAGCACATGAAGACCCTGCTCTTACTTAGAGACGATACTAGAACTAGTTGTAACTAGGTTAAAAGTTCCAGTAGGACATGGTGTTCCAGAAGCCGAATGAGAACACAGCTGTATTTCAGAGGTCAGCCATTCACAGACCATAAACCCTGGTTCTGGGAACATGGAGGTCATGCTGGTGACAGGGACGATAATGAGAAAGAGGAGGAAACCTGCCGGAAATGGGTTAGAGAGAACATGGGATGTGAGCAAGCGGGGGCAAAGCTTTAATGGAGTTTTGCCAGGAAAGGGAGCAGAGAAATGGTTGGAAGAGGATGTGGGATCAAGGAAGGTTGTTTTTGTCGTTGTTTAAAGATTGATGACATGTTTGTATGCTGAAGGGAACAGTTTGATAGACGAAAATATTGATGATGAGAGGAGAAAATGGATAATGGTAGGAGCAAAGTTGTTGAGAGAAGAGATGGCAAAAACAGTGCACGAGAGGAGAAGTTGGCTGTGGGCAGGAACAGGCACATCCCGCCCGTGGAGGAGGGGTGACCACTGAAAATATGGGTGGAGGGGAAGGTGGATTTGGAGTTGCAAAGATGATGTAGCTCTTGTCTGCTTGCTTTTGTTGTCTTAGAGAAATACGGATTAAATTGTCAATTTAAAGTAGGAAGGAGGCTGGGCTTTTGGATAGAAAGGTATAAACTTGTCATTGTGGAGAGAAGGAATGGAAATTTACTTGGGGAATGTAGTGGATTTTTGGACACAGCAGATGCCCCCTTGAGAGTTTGGTCACAAATGTAACGTGTGAACAGGCAAGTGTGTTGTTTTCTTGCCCTGTTCTGCTGCTCGAGTGTGGGTTTAACCAGGGTGAAGCTTCTGTCAGCTGATAATAAAGGTTCTGTGGGTGACGGTGGAAGAGAATTGAAAGTCTACCTAAGGGAGTGATTCTAATGACGGAGGAAGAACTCTGAGGTGTGAAGGGAGAAGTAGAGGACATGGAGAGGGACAGGAGCGGGGAAAGCGCTGGGGCCAGTGAGGCTGGACGACTCCTAGGTGTTCAACCCAACCCTTAACTTCCTCTCCGAGCAGATGGTGAAGGCTTGCGCTGGAGCCATGACAGTGCCCGGGGTAAAGAAAGGCTTACGCAGGAGGCTGTTGGGGGTTCAGACACGCTGGCCTCCTGCAGTTTATTTGATTTATTGTGCTGCTTTGATTTTCTTCTTTTCCTCAGAATCATAATTAGTCACATGTAATTTCCATGGGATCTGTAAGAAACATTTAATTGAAAGGAAATCTCCTTCAATTGTGTTAAAAAGTTTAAGATATATTTTGTTTTTGCCGTTGAAGGCCATCCTACTGAGAATAAAACCTTTGAAGACCCTCCTGTCAAACATCTATGACAGCATTTTTCAGGATATACGTATATGTGAGGGGGTTGCTTGGTTTCTTTCTTTCCTTTTTTGTTTTTAAATTGTTATGATCCAGTTGAGATTGTGACGTCGCTACGTACACAGCTGCACTCTTCATCTTCTAGTCAGATACTTGCTGTTACAATTTGTCATTGAAGTTGATTGAAGTTAGTCTTTCCCTAGAGCTAGTTAAATTATTAGGATTATAAAACAGATTTATTTTAGGGCTAATTTATATGAAGCCTTTTACCATGATCCTATCCCTTAGTAAATGAAGCTGTCCTTACGTTTCATACGTGGGCTCAAAATTCTCAGGCTTTGATTTTCCCACAAGGAGGCTGACACAGCATGTTTTTAAAAATAAGGCAGCAGCATCCTTCTTGAGCTTCCCAGTATTCCTGTGTTTGACATTGAACTCTGGGCTAATTCTGCAGTTGTTGTAGTTGAAAGACTTGCTACGACTTAGTGACACTTTCTATTCTTTTCAGAGTTAGGGTATTCATTGTTAGTGCTTGAGCCTTAGGACACGATGAGGGTTTAATTATTTCTGTCGTGATTAAATATTCAGCAGTCCCTATTTTATAAGATTAGGCCACTCAAATATGCTTTGGAAACAAGTATCGTGTTTGGATTTTTTTTTTAATTCTCATTTCCCTCCCCAGAAACCCCAACACCCGACGACAGGAATTATTGCCATCACACTGGCGTTTCACATCTGTCATGAAGTTCATCTTGCTGGTTTCAAATACAACTTTTCCGACCTTAAGAGTCCCCTGCACTACTATGGGAATGACACCATGTCTTTGATGAATCAGGTAATAAATACACACTTGGTAATCTTTGATCTTCAGGGTGGGAAAGCCCATATTCTCTCTTCTGTCATTTTACTGCGGGAACAGGTTTTGAGAGGCTGAGGGCTTGACAGGGGCTACAGAGCTAGACATGCCGAAACTAGGACTCAGGCCCAGAGTTGTTCTTACTATAGCAGCCATTCCCAGTCTGGGTCTCAGACCCCTGGGAGAACCTCGCAGATATTGTCAAGTGCCACCAACCCGTCAAACCCAAGCCTTATCTCAGATACTGAATCACATGTGCACTATTTAAATATAGACAACGTGCTGTTTGAGATATTACAATTCACCTAAAACCATCACCATGCTTACAGTAAATATTTTCATGTGTTTTTTCAGCTTAGTACATGAGAAAGTCTATAACATGAAGATTCATGGTCAAAAGGTTGCAAACCTTTATACTAGACCATGCTTCCCATGAATAGGGATCAATGGTGGTAGATTTGATCCTTAAGATTTTTATTTTAATGACTGTATGGGAGTTTTCTATTTTCCTAATTCTAACTTCGATTAGTGGCATATCAGAAGTGACAAGATTAAAATGTTATGTGTATATTTTTCATATTGAAATATGGTTTGCTGTAAAGTATACGGATATATCCTATGAAATCAGTGCCCTTCAATCATCATCCCTCAATACGACATAAGCTGAAGAAGTGGATTATTCAGGTTAGACCTTAACACTGCCTTTCTGCCCCACCCCCTCCCCCTGCCACGTAAGACACACACTGAGTATTCACGAGGTAGGTGCTGGGACAGATTTCAGGCTCATGTCGCCTCAGCCCTAATCTTTCCTGTAGCACTTGTGGTATTTCTAGAGTCATCTAAAGGATAGAACATTACAACAACTTCCTGAGGAAAATTAGGATATCCATCAGTGGAACAGAATTATTCTTTAAACACATCTTAAACTGAACATGGCTTACCATCGTTTCTTATCTCTGATTTCTTGTCTGAGTGCCCGGTACTGCTTTTATTAAAGTGAGCCACCCATTCTGACTTACACTTTTGGTCTAGATTTATACCATAATTCAGCAGACCAGGGGATGCTGTGAGGGAGCCTCTTTTCTCATGTCACGGTTTAAGTGGAAAGAGTGGGTTCTAGGGAAAGATCTGGCAAAAGAATGAACCAAGAAAAAGAGATCAGAAAGGTCACAGAAGTTTTCAAGTCCCTGCCACTTTCACTCGAGTTTCTTCTTCGGAAGCCTTTTTGATGCGGCGTCTTCCGCTGCTGCTGCTGCTAATGTCTGAGACTGGGACAGATGGTAACCGTGTCATTTCTCCTCTTCAGAGTGCCTACCACAATGTGACTGCAGAGCAGCTCTTCCTGAAGGACATTATAGACAAAAACTTTGTAATCAACCTCACTCAAGATTGACCCTACAGACTCAGAAGATGATGCTAACAGTATTAGTTTTATTTTTATACTGCAATTTTTAGTTTATTTTTAAATATGTTGGATGCACTCGTCAAAAAATTATGTATATTGTCTGTTGCTGCCTGGTGATTCATAACCGCCAGGTTTATTTCTGTGAATATATTTATGAAAAACAAGATATGTTTAATTATCAGGGAAATAACTTTTGACATCATGTTTTTAAAATAAGCTAGTTTTCTGAGGTGTTTTTAAACGTTTTTTTAATGGCTAGTTCGTCTTAGACTTTTGAAGGGATGTGATTTCCTAATAAGGGGATTTAGTTTACCACAATGAATTCTGAATGTAACATGACATTTTGAGAGGTGCATTTGGCTGCTGTAAATTGGTGGGGAATTGGCACATGGTTGTGCCTGGATATGGAAATGAATCACTTCAGGCCAATATCTGGATGATTGTTTAAATCCTTTTTGTTCTATCAGTGGAACTTGATTGGAATCTTAAACCAGCCCTGAATACAGTAGATGGTTAGGGAAACCTACCATCATACTGGTTTAGTTAAGTGTTTTTTCCTGCAATTAAGCAAACCATTACTGATTGATTAATTTTGTAGAATGAAGATGGTGGTGTTTTTAAGTTGAAGGAAATAGGCTAAACATGAAATTCTGGATGAGTAAATAACCAAAGAATGCAATTACTAATGTCGGGTGACTGTATTATTTTAAGGAAATAAAAAGTTTAACTTTATACAAAGAAGCTGAGCCAGGCAAACTCAAGGAGGAGAAAATTCTTAAACATGATTTTTTGCCCAGTTTATTAAATTTTGAAAGGTTACTATTCGAATCACATTAGGAAAAATAAAGACAGAGTAAGTAAACTCTTAAGAAAACTCAAGCTGTTTTTGGATTTAAATGGTATTTTCATTAAAAAAAAAAAAAATCTCAATTGTTCACGTAATCGCATCTTCAAATGGAAAGCTTACCTGGCTCCCTAGCGTGCAGCACACAAGGAGCCTACGGGACACAGACAAGCCAGTCCAACACGTGGTAAGCTGGTCTCTCTTCCCATTTTAATATAACCAAAGGCTATGGGGCATTTGGGGGGCGTGAAGGAGAAAGGAAGAAAACAGTAGAAGTTCTAAGAAAGATGGAATTAAGAGCTCTCAGAAGACGAGTGAGTTGAAGGAATTGATACGCCTGACCAATTATCACTGGGAGACAGTGGTAGTATTACTGACAACCAACCTGCCTCTCTAAAGAGTGTACAGGCGCCGGCCCCGTGGCTTGGCGGTTAAGTGCGTGCGCTCCACTACTGGCGGCCTGGGGTTTGGATCCGGGCGCGCACTGACGCACTGCTTGTCCGGCCATGCTGAGGCGTCGTCCCACATACAGCAACTAGCAGGATGTGCAACTATGACATACAACTATCTACTGGGGCTTTGGGGAGAAAAGGGGAAAAAATGGAGGAGGATTGGCATGGATGTTAGCTCAGGGTTGATCTTTCTCACACACACACAAAAAGAGTGTATAAAGGGTGAAATATTAGAGCAGAAACAGAAACCAATGAAACACTTAAAAGCAGTGTGGGGAGGAGAAAACTGGTTGATTTAACCTAGATGTAGACGTCCAGTGTGGACTGTTCTGTTTACACCAGCATCTGCTGGCACAGCAGCACGTCTCCTCTGACTCTGTAATGACTCGGAGGGGAGAAGGCAGGTGCAGACTGGTGTCCACACGAGTCCCGGGACCCCTGCCACAGGCTACAGCCTGGCCGCTCAATTTCTTTGATGTCAAGTAATTCGGGCTTCAAAAGAAGTCAAAAACCGATGGTGGCATTTTCAAATGTTGCTGTAAGCACTATAACATTGGCCACAAAATGTCTGACCACTGAGGAATCGGGCGTTTTGTGTAGTACGAGAGAAGGCTACGAACCTCAAGGTGGTTTTATTTAAGCCAAAAAAAAAAAAATCTTGAGCAAGACACATATATACAATTTATTAAAAACACATGAACACATTAAAATCTCACTATTTATACAATCTACATTCTAGCAACATATACAGACACCGAGTGCCGACAGTACACGCCGAGGTAAGAAAAGTCCGTCCGGGGGACTAGCACTGCCGCTCGGGCCGCTTTTCTTCCAACACGTATTTCAATACACGTCTGGTTTCCACCTTCCCCGGTGCGGAAACAGGAGGAGGGGATGAAGAAGAAACTCGGCACAAGCTGGATTAGAGGATTGGTGCCACAGGTGACCTAAAGTGTTTAATAACCATCCAACTCTTATTTAGATTTTGCAGTTTAGGGACTTCAAGTTCAGAACCGAAAGGCAGAGCTAACAGGTAATTTTTTTAGGTAGAGCTTCCTTGATTTCTCTTAAGAGAGTTTAAGAAGCTTTCACTGTCCCACAGCATATACTGGCTCTTTCTAACTGTCTCACTTGACACGGTGTTCTACAGCTCTCTTGCTCTCCCGCTGACAATGAAGTTCAAGCTCTCTCTCCTTCCAGGGAATCTCGGCCACATTCGTATTTAGATGAGCTCGCTTTCTGCTCCCTCCTGGGGGGAGGGCAAGTGTATACATAATGTCATAATTTCAATTTCTGTATAAATTCTCTACTCGAACCATTTCATCAGCAAATAAACCCATTGTTCAATGCAAAGTGCAAATAGTGAAACATGAACTTAAATAACTGGACCAGACCCTGCACATACAAGAGGGTCTATTTAGATTTACAGCTTTTAATAAAATATAAATCAGCATTCACAATATCTTATCTCTAACTGTGCTAGCTCCTAAGATCAAGTAACAGTGAAGTCAGTGTAATTTCATGAAACCTGTAGGCGCCATACTTGCTGCACTGCTGTCTATTTTTATAATTAACAGGAAAAAAATCAAATCCAATGAACCAGTGACTTAAGTCTTTTACATGTTTCAAAGAAAAAAAATTCAAGGGAATTTTGTAAAAAATGGTTATTTTCACATTTTCAGTTGTTACTCGATTGTCTCCAAAGCTGTGTATATATCAGACATATAAACATAGTAAAAAAAATAACAAAACCAAAACTCTAATATGAAAACCAACTAAAAGAAAAAGTTCAAAACAAGAACAACCCTTGTCTCAGGCTCAGCTCTTCATCTGGAAAGTAAAATATATAAAAGTAGTAAAAACTATGTATTTTGTAAAAATCATTGGTAGTTCAAGGACAGCACAGTGGTGACACAAATCAAGTCTTAAAACATGCATAATTTAAGAACACACCTGCTTCTCAAAGTCTGATGGGAAAACAACCAGATGCACACACGTACGAAAGAGCAAGCATCTTTGGGAAAATGAAATAGTTGCTGAAATCATTTCTCTTAAAGCTTCAAACAGGCATATGATTTGAGGAAGAGTATATTTCCTGTGTACTAAGGATGAATAAAAAAATAAAGCAACTGGTTTACTCTCTTCCCACCTGAAAGGGGTGACTGCATTAATACATGTGCTTACACACTCATCTATGTTTTAATAAAAGTTCAACATCTGTGCTTTTTGTTTCAAATATTTTGGAACAAAATATGTATTGATTTTTCAGCAAATAAAATTATGCCTCAAAGTTTGCTGGGAAAAGAAAAGCAAATGAAAATAAGACCAAAATCATACAACCAGAATGCAGGGAGGCTGTAGAAATTAACAGTTCTATTTCTGAAGCAATGTTTTAGAATACTGATATACTCATGGAAGTAAGCGAAATGAACACTGTTCATCTTTAGTCACATGTAGCAAATTCTGGCAACAACAGTCTGGTGGCACAGGCCAAGAGCAATGACTAGAACCTGACGGCAGCGTGTGTTTCAACACTGAGTCTATAAACCAAGGTTTACAGAAGAGGGAGGTCAAATTGATACGTTTCAATCACATGGGCAGCTTCTCAAATCGTCATGCCAGTTACAGACATTTACAGATAGCTCTTACACTAATAGGTTAACACGCTGCAGACGGTTTCTCTTTCACCAGTTCTGGGCATGTGGTGACAAGGACGTTGCCCAGAGAGGAGGCCCCACCAGCTGTCCCCCAGGCGTGACACCAGGACGTCTCAGCATCCACCACAGACCCCCCATCGTGTAGAGGTGAGGAACACATGCTGGTTTATATTTCTTATAAAAGTTTACCATGGAAAAGGGAAATTAAAAGATATTTTTTATGTGACTAAAATTAATAAAGTACCTTGAGATTCAAAGAAAAACCTATCTATCTATGAAACCAAAGAGGGCAAATTCTGGTTACTTTTTTTTGAGGGTAATTTATGACTTTTGAGGAATGATTTTGTCTTTCACTGTGATAAACAGAAGTGGGTGTTGGTTACAATGTTCACCTACAACCCTCAACTTTCCACAGCTCTCCTCGGAAAAACCCTACTGCGGATAAAGCGAGGGAGGGAGAGAATCTCCTGTAGAGCTTCTCTCAGCTGTGACTCCTTCCTGTTTCCACACAGAGAAGAGCACTTAAAGACAGCAGGGGGCCTGGATGCGCGAGGTTGATACAGCAAACACCAGCCACTGAGAAAGCTCATTTTATAACCACAAGCATGGGGCTGGCCACCAAGGGCCCCAGGCGGAACAAGCAGAGACGAGACCAGTTGTGTACCGTGAGGTGTTAAAGCTTTTAAGCGTCAAAAAGTGAAAAATCAATCACCCTGCGCATTGCAAGCCAGAGGTCCCCAGCTATAGATCTTCCTAGGGGAAAATGGATATGTGCATGACTGCAATCAAAACAACGATTATACCACTAAGTATTTAAAAAATAATCCAGAAAGCAAGCCAGGAACAGAAGAGGAGGAAATCATGGTAGTACCCAGCTTTCACAAATAGAGCAGAGTTGCAAGCCATCAGCATCTCGAGAACAGTACCATGTGTTGCTGCCAGTCAGCCTTGCAGAGCTGTCTGGAGTTCACCAATGTACCTGCAGCACTGGTAAGAAATACTCACTCTCAGTGATTGCAATTTCTTTGAAGTGCATAGTAGGAAGCTTTTTCTGTATTAAAAATAGTGTTTTACAGTAGTAACCAACAGGATGTTCAAAATTTAACAGGCAAGCAGTAACTGTGCCCCAATAACGCTTTTAAAGCAAGATGGCAAGATTAGTAGTTTCTTGTACCTCGGACATTACCTCTCCCCCCACCCACATCCGTGACAGATATGTAGTACATTCTATATTACTACCACTAATACAAAAAAGAGGCCATGTGCTTTAAAACGATGCTTTGTACAAAGCAGCATCACCTTCAAAGGATTTCTTTGAAAACATCGCCTTCGCCGTTCCTCCCTGCTCCCGACCCCTCCTGCGCGCTCTGTGGCACCTGGTACACCGATTCGTCCGGGGCACTTGGACCCGGCTTCCCACCCTTTGGGGTATCGTACTGGGCCCGGGCCGAGGAGCAGCTGTCAGTCCTGCAGAGAAGAGCGTTGTACGTTCCCACTCCAGGGGGAGCCTGGCTCCCCGCAGCTTTGAAGGTGGACGTGGAGGGCAGGCTGACCGGAGCTGTGGGGAGCCCCGACATGTCCACGACGATGGGGGTTGCGTACTCGGGCCCCGTCACCGGGAGCGGTTCCGCGTAGGCGTGATAGACCTCCTGCCCAGGGGAGGTGTAAGGATCGAGGTCCGAGTAGCCTGGCTCTTTTCCTTCTTCTGGTTTAAAGGTAGACCTCTGATGAAGGGTGCCAACAATTCCTCCCACGAGCGGCTGTGCATACTCTGGACATTGCAAAACACACACCAGAAAGTTATCTCGTCAATACAGGGATCACGCAACTGAGGGTGGCAGCGCGGGCTCTCCCCACAACTGACACTCCTCTACCGCACTGGCGTTGTCATCAACACAGAGGGACAGGTCTCTCTGCAAGAGCTAACTTCAAAAATTAAAACTAAAGATGTTATCTTGCATCTCACAGTAATAAGTTAATATGCCAGAAAGCCCCATTCACATAATTTTGCAGAAAGAGTGTTTGTATATGTTCTTCAGATTTATAGATAGTATTTCATTGGAAAAGAAACATTCCATTATTGAAATAATACTAGTCTTGGAAAATAAGTTCATATTTTTTTTCAAATATTAGGAAATGTTTAAAATAAATATGTACTAGGTTAAAAGGATAAACACCGTAAGGCTCCCTATGCCTTTCCTGCTCTCCTTTTAAGACCCCCAAACCCCCAAGAAAACCAAACAAGACTCCAGGTAAACAGACGAGATGCCCTGAGTTTTATGGACAGAATGTCTAAGACACAGAGATGACTCTCTCGAGGCCTTTTTAAAAAGTGGTTCTACCTTTTGAAAACAGTTCATCTCTTACACATGAAAGAGATAAAGGATGCTGTAAACTCCAAAGCACTTTGCAGCCCACACAGCGCTCCTCCCTCTGCCCTGTGGCCTCGGCTGTGCGAGGTTACCTGCCGAGTCGGCCTGCAGCACTGCGGTGACCTCTCTGGGACTCAGGTGGTTAACTTCACTGCTGCTGTAGCGAACTGGGGTCTCCTCATGTTCCACTGCCTTGGCAGGGAGAAACTGCTTCATTCCTTTCCACCAGCCTTCAGTGTGAACGCAAGCAAAAGAGACTGTTAAATACAAACCTACCTCTGCACTGACAACAGGAGGTTAGGGGAGAAATCCTCTTGCATTTAAGCCATTTCTATAACAAATTTCTATACAAACTAGCCTTTATGTTCAAGCTTTTATTTTTTTTTAATTGTGGTAAAATATACATAAGATAAAATTTTACCATCCTAACTATTTTTAGGTATACAGGTCCGTGGTATTAAATACATTCACACTGTTGTGCAACCATCACCACCATCCATCTCCAGAGCTCTTTTCATCTTGTAAAACTGAAACTCTGTCCCCATTAAACTACAACTCCCCACTCTCTCCTCCCCTCAGCCCCTGGCAACCACCATTCTACTCTGTCTCCATGAATTTGACTCCTCTAGGTTCCTCATATAAGTGGAATCATACAGTATTTGTCTTTTTGTGACTGGCTTTTTTTCAGTTAGCACAGTGTCCTTCAGGTTCATTCATGTTGTACGACATTACAGAATTTCCTTCCTTTTTAAGGCTGAATAATATTCTATTGAATGTATATACCACATTTTGCTTATCCATTTATCAGCTGATGGACACCTGGGTTACTTCCACGTTTTAACTCTTGTGAATAATGCTGCTATGAACATGGGTGTACAAATATCTCTTAGAAACTCTGTTTTCTTTTGGGTATACACACAGAAGCAGAATTGCTGGATCACATGGGTGCTTCTATTTTTAATTTTTTGAGAAATCGCCATACTGTCTTCCACAACGGTTGTACCATTTTACATTCCCACCAAAAGTGCACAAGGGTTTCAATTGCTTCACATCATTGACACCTGTTTTCTGCTTCTTTGATAGGCGCCATCCTAATGGGTATGAGGTGGTATCTCACTGTAGTTTTGACTTGCATTTCCGTAAAGATTAGTGATGCTGAGCATCTTTTCACATGCTCATTGGCCATTTGTATATCTTCTTTGGAGAAATATCTATTCAATTCCTTTGCTTATTTTTTAATCAGGTTGTTTTTTTGTTTCTGAGTTTTAGAAGTTCTCTACACAGTGTGAATATTAATCGCTTATCAGATATAGGATTTCCAAGTATTTTCTCCCATTCCGTGGGTTGCCTTTTTACTCTCTGGATACTATCTTTTGATGCACAAAATTTTTTAATTTTCACAAAGTCCAATTTGTTTACTCTTTTGTTATCTGTGCATTTGCTTTCATATCTAAGAAATGACTGCTAAATCCAATGTTGTGAAGCTTTTGTCCTATGTTTTCTTCTAAAAGTTTTATTGTTTTAGGTCTTACATTTTGCTCCTTGATGCATTTTGTGTTAATTTTTGTATATGGTGTTAGGTAAGAGTCCAACTTCAATCTTTCGCATGTGGATATACAGTTTTCCCAGCACCTTTTGTTGAAATGTCTTTTTCCCAATGAATGGTCTTGGCACCCTTGTCAAAAACCATTTGTCCATATTTCTAAGGGTTTATTTCTGGGCTTTCTACTCTATGCCATTAGTCTATACATCTGTCTTTATGCCAATATCACACTGTTTTGATTACTGTAGCTTTGTAGTAAGTTTTGATATCCAGAAGTGTGAATCTTCCAATTTTGTTGTTTTTCAAGATTGTTTTGGCTATTCAGGGCCCCCTGAGATTTCACATGAATTTTAGGATGAGTTTTTCTATTTCTGCAAAAAATGTCATTGGGATTTTGATAGGGACTGCATTGAATTTGTAGATTGCTTTGGGTAGTATTGACATTAACAATATTAAGTCTCCCAATCCATGAATGCGGGATGTGTTTCCATTTATTTATGTCTTAATTTCCTTCAGCAACATTTTGTAGTTTTCATTGAACAAGTCTTTCACCTCCTTGGTTAAATTAATTTCTAAGTATTTTCTTTTTGATGCTGTTGTAAATAGGATTGTTCTTATAATTTCCTTTTCAGATTGTTCGTTGTTTGCGTATAGAAATGCAAATGATTTTTGTACGTTGACTTTGCATCCTGCTACTCTGCCGAATTCATTTACTAGTTCTAACAGCTTTTTTGTGGAGTCTTTAAGGTTTAGTTCTTTCTTGGTTTGGTAGAATTTACCAGTGAAGCCATCAGGTCCAGGACTTTTCTTTGTTGGGAGATTTTTGATAACTGAATCAATCTCCTTGTTACAGGTCTGTTCAGATTTTCTATTTCTTTGTGATTGAGTCTTGGCAGGTTTTGTATTTCTAGGAATTTGTCCATTTCATGTAGGTTATCCAATTTTTTTTTAGTGTACAATTGTGTATAGTACTCTTATAATCCTTTTTATTTCTGTGGAATTGGTAGTAATGTTCCCCCACTTTCATTTCTGACTTTAGTAATGTGAGTCTTCTCTTCTTCTCAGTCCATCCAGCTAAAGGTCTGTCATTTTTTTGATCTTCTCGAAGAATCAACTTTTGGTTTCATTAATTTTCTCTATGGTTTCGCTATTCTCAATTTCACTTATCTCTTCTTTAATCTTTATTGTTTAGTTTCTCCTGGTAGTTTTGGGTTTAGTTTGTTCTTCTTTTTCTAATTCCTTAAGTTGTTCAAGCTTATTTTTTGCTTTGATAGAATATCCAGTGTGAAGCAGAACATGGGAGAAATCTCTATCAAAAGCATACACAGAGCAAGTCTGCTATTATAGTGCAGCCAGATATAGCCTGTCTGTTGTAGTGGTGGTTTTTAATAAGTTTTTCTCAAAATATACTTTCCAAAATCCCCCCATGGGTGCCAGCAGTGCTGCTGTGCCCCCACCACTGCTCTTCCTACCATGGTCATGGCAGTGACCTCTCGGCTCCTGACAGCTGCTCCTGTAGGGAGACTGGGAAGGGGGAGACCCCACTTGCAGCCATCGCCACCTGACCCACAGAGCAGGGACTCAGAAGATGACAACTCATCACGGCAGAGACGGCAGGCCTCAGTGACTCCTAACCTGCTGGACCCCACGTGGTAAAAACCCACGGCAGAGTGACATGCGGTGTCACCAGGACCACAATCCTTGCTTCCCACAGTGTTCACGTGGGCCACACAGGAGGCTGGTCTCAAGACAGACGGATACACGGGACAAGCCAGACAAGGGCTCCAGAGGAAAAAGCACAGAGCATGTGTTGAGTTCTTACTTCCCGTGTCATTACCGACCGACTAGAAGAGATTTTACAGAAAAGTACAAACGGTCAGAAAAGAAGGGGAAGCCACTTCTCTGACAGAGCTGGGAGTTCAGGAGGCCTGGACACGACCCTCCTTCCACTGCTGCCACCTACAAGGGAGGGACTTCCCTCTGACAGACAGGGACGCGAAGCCAAGACACACCTGCCCGGTCCCAGTAAGGTAAGTCATAGGTGCCTTCAGTTTTTTTCTTTCTGGAAAAATACAGAAAAAAAAAGTTAGCAAATAGACTGAATTCATAGTAAGAAAGCTCTGGACCTGCAGGATAAACACTGAAGTTAATCATTAGTCAGGAGCCTGCGTTTCCCCTGCTGATCTACCCGGGGGGCCTCTATTTCATTTGACTTTCAAAGTCACCACTGCTGAGGCTCGTAAATTCTGGACTCTCGATAAATATTAAACTATCTCCTGAGACAGTTATCTTGTTACCCAACTACTTCCCACTCAAAAAGCATAAAGGAATAAAAAAGGCTGAGTCTGTGGACAAAGAGACTGAACCAAACCAAAGACCCACCCTGACACGCGGGTCATTACGGGGAAACCGTGTCAGCTGTTTTGGTTTCAAATACAAATTTCACAAATCAGTCGATATACAAAGCCCACAGAACAAAAAAAACCCCACATTTTTTTCGGCATTATTATGTTTTCCAACTTGCTTCTTTTCTTCTACAGTCCTCTGCCCCAGAGAAGTTTAAGTGTCACATGCACTTAATTGCACAGACTTAACTCCTCCAACCACCCAGGATAAGTCAAGGCTGTCACTAAGAGTGACAAGCGGTGGAGGGAGGAGACCAGGATTCTCAGGCCTGAGGCGAGAGCCACGCGTGCAGTGAAGGAGCGTCTCCCCAGTCTGCTCCTCAGAACCCCACACACCCCCCAGGGGACTCGCCCTCCCCTCCATGAAGAATTGCCGTGGACCAAGAGCCACGTACAAAGGGAAAAACAAGCACACGAAGGGACATTTTCTGATTCAAGAATGTACACCTAATTAAAGTGCATGCTTTGTGAGTTAAAGAGAAGGCAGAAGTTATTCTAGTGCATAAATGAGCACAAGCTGGGCATGTGATTTGCTCAAGACCGTGAACATTGCGTTCTCAAAGAGCCCGAGGCCTGTGCTTTTCCTACTCGGAAACACTCTTCTCCAGCATGATACTGTTTTTATTACTGATGTTAAAAGCCTCCTCATTTTAAAGTCTGGCTGTACTGAAAATACAACATTTCATTATTTCAAAGTAAAGTATAATGTAAGATTTGTGGAAAAGATGGAGGGGCTGGAGCTGTTCATCAAGAACTGGAATGGAAAAGAAATAATAAATGCTGGCTTATTAATTAAGCTCTTTTCTCCTTGGAAGTCTTCTAATAAAATACAAATAAAAGGAAATCAATGATCTTTTCTAAATGGCAGTCAGGTGCCCTGTGTGGCTGGGCAACACATTTACCTGTGTGAGGACCGGCCGAGGGTCGTACCATGCAGGCTTTTACGTTCTGAGCCTCAGGTGGCAGAGCTTCAGGTCATTCACCTGCTGCTGAGAGGGGCTGGGGCAGTGCTGGCATGGGGTCAGGACTCAGCAGGTTGCAGCTGTCTTTATTAGGACTTTCCTCCCCTCGCTCTCCGCAGCCGGAGCCCCTCCTCCTCCAGGCTCGTCATGGAGCCAGGGGTCAGCCATCTCAACTGCACTGGCACAAGCCCCTTCAGTTCTGCGGCTCAGCCCTTCTGTCCTCCACAGGTGAGTATTCCACCCGCCTCGTGGGGTCTGTGTGTCCACAGGGTCCCTTAGACACCATCCCCAACTGCCTTCAGGACGCAGCCCTCCATCCCGGTCCTCACCGCCCGGCCTGTGCTTCACCCACAGGGGATCCGACTCGCGGACTGACCAGCGGACTGCAGGTCCGGGGGCGCGGCAGTGGTTACAGCCCGGGCGCTGAAGCCTGGTCTGAAGCCCCCTCTGCCAGTCCTGGCAGGTGACCCCGGGCAAGGGATTTATGCTCTGTCTCACTTTCTTCCTGCTTCATAGGTTGTTGTGAGGATTAAATGAGTTAAAACATGTAAAGCATTCAGAATAATGCCTAAAATCAGCACTTAATTTTCTATAAAAAGTCACTGTGGCTGTTCTCCTTGTCACGGTTGCTGCCGTCCAGCTCCCTGAAAGCCTAGTGACCGTCCTCCTGGACCCCCTAAAGACCCTTTTGCCCTCTCCCCACCACCCTCACACTAACTTGGTCTCTGCTCAGACAGCCGCCCCCACACCACCAATCCGGGATCCACGTGCTCCTCCAGCTTCCTCCCATGGCCACTGTGTGGTCGGTACCACCCAATGGAACCCCTCCCGTTCCGTAAACCCCTGTGTGTGGGGTTCTCCCCTGGACTCCCACACACGGCCCAACACTTGGCACAGGGGAAGAGTGCAAATATTTGTTCAATGGCTGAACAAACGAAGTCATTCTCCTTCTCTAAACCTGTTCCTCCTGTTCTGTTCTCTCAACTCCTGACATCTCTGCTGGTCTAACTGCACGAGCCAGAAGCTTCAGATCACCCTAGAACCCTCCTCTTCTCTTGCAGACGGCACCCCATCCACCCACCGGGAACCCTCTCCTTCCATCTGCCCCTTTGCTGGAGTCGCTGTGTTATGTTCCTGCACAGGCTCAGACGGTTCCTCACTCATCTCGCTGCCTCTTCTGGTCTCTCTACCATTCAGTCCGCCCTCCAAAACTCCCGCCACTGTCTTCCTACCATCATCTAATAATTAACAGTCCTCGCTGATGTCCCCACCTACAGAAGGAAACCTAAGTTACTCTCCCCCAGGAAGCCTTCCTGACCCAGGCCCAGCCCATGTCTCCGTGCTTCAACCCGTCCATCTGGGCCATTCTCCACCTTCCTCTCTCTAGCCAAATCCCACTCCTTCTTTAAGGGGAAACATGCCAAACTTGAGGATTACTCTTTCCTGAAGAAAAGACTTCAGGTAACTCTGATGTTCTCACATCTGTGTTTCCCAGCACTTCATAAATAACCATCCAGCCACGTTAGAGTCTCTTACTCTGTCAGTCAACCCTGCTAAGCACACAGGAACTGTGCCTCACTCTTTCAGTAAACGTTACTAAGCACCTATCATGTGTCTTACTAATGTGCACGTCTGTGTGTTAACGCAGAATTTGATACGATAAAGGCACTCAGTAACTGACTGTGGATCTGAACCTACTCATCTTTTATGGGAACGGAGGAGAAACCTGTGCGTTTTTATTCTAATGACTATCTTAATTTTCCCTCTCAAAGAGGTGAATTGTAGTGCATCTTCTGTATTTAGTTTCTGTTTCACATTTGGGAACATCCCCTCTGGGACCAGTCAGGTGAACTAACCTGTTCCTCCAATGCCAAGCGCACACGAGGATGAGGATGAGCGTGGTGAGGACCATGACCAACACGGGGACAAGTACTGCAGCCAAGGCGACATCTGAAATTTAAAAAAAAGAACATCCGCACCAAAGGCAGAAATCACGAAGTGAAGATTAACCGCGTCATCACTCAAAGCTTCTCTATCTCAAAAAGTACCATAGACGTTATTTATGAAATGGACTGGGCCTGAGCCGGCAATTGCAGAAGCTTTCACAGACACATGGAAGTTCGTCACACCATTGCTCACCTTCGTATGTTTTTAAATCACCAAGACAAATTGAAAGACAAATGATAAACTGGGAAAATATTTTCTGCATTTGTGATAAAGGGTTAATATAATTAATACATTACAGAATTTATACGTCAAGAACAAACAACAGAAAAGTGAGCCGAGATGAAATACATTATATTACACTAAAAACACAAGGAATGAGGGGGCCAGCCCCATGGCGTAGTGGTTAAGTCCAGCACCCTCCGCTTCGGTGGACTGTGGTTCGCAGGTGCGGATCCCGGGCGCAGGCCTACAGCACTTGTCAGCCATGCTGTGGTGGTGACCCACTTACAAAATAGAGGAGGACTGGCACAGATGTTAGCTCAGGGCTAATCTTCCTCAAGCAATAAAAAGTGGAAGATTGGCAACAGGTATTAGCTCAGGGTGAATCTTCCCCAGCAAAAAAAAAATCCACAGGGAATGAAATACATTATATTACATTAAAAACACAAGTGACCATTAAATGTGTTCATCTCACTAGTAATCAGAGAAACAGAAGTTAAAACAAGAATAACAGGCTATTTTTGCTTAGCAAATTGGCAGATATTTAAAAGATGTATAAAATCCTATTTTTGCAATATGTATAATATTACTTGGCAATCCCATATGTAGAATTTATTCTTAGGGAAAAATCAATATGACATTTAAAGCTGTATCTTTAAAGATGTTTGCTTCTGTATCTGCAGAAGAGTGCAAAACTGTGATGACCCAAATGCCCAACAATGAAAGGGAATAAGTAAATCATGGTATACTCCTTGTAGTAAAACATCGTCCAGCAACTGAAAGTGATGTTGTAACATGATGGGAAAATATTGATAGTTATGGGAGGTAACCATGTAGTGTCAGGTATAGAAAACCCAAGACTGCAAATGTGTCTGAGCAGAGCAGAAACCACCACAGCGCTGGAGCCTGAGGGACGTGTAGATCACCAAATCCCCTCTCTCACTCCATAGATAAGGATCCTGGGCCCAGATACAGAAAGTGGTCTGCATAAGGTCATTTGTGACATTTAGTTTCTTTCTTCACCCGTCAACCCCCTCCCCCTGGCGACGAGGATGAGCCACGAGCATTTGCTGGTATCTCCCGGAGGCTGAGTGCCAGTCACTGTGATGGAACTGAGCACAGCACCTGACTGCCTCCTGATAGCTATGTCTCCAGAAGAGAGGAAGAGGCTGACGTCAGGAGAGGGGCGGATCATCAGTGACACGTGGCCCAAGAAGCTGGATGGATGGAATGAGGGCACAGTCTGGGTGAAGGGTTTGAAACATATGGCGCATGTTTCCCACAGCTACCGCTGAGAACAGACAGAAGAGCTAACCAGGGGAACAGAAAGCCGGCTGGCAGGTGCTGAGGGCCCGCTGAGGGAGGGTCTGAAGCACAGGGGCACAGGTCTGACCCTGACATGACATGCTCCAGCATGGCTTTCAGCCTGGACGTAAAAAAGGAGGAGGAAGTGCATAAAACAGAAATCGTGACTCAGCCTAGAAAGCACCAAGAACTCAGAGAAGTGTGCTTAATCCCTCAAGTCTGTGACCCTGGAGAGAGAACAATCGGGTTCAGATGGATACAGTTCGATTTAATCAGAGGCATTAAAACATCTGTTTAGGTTCGAAAAATAATAAGTATAGACACCACCGTCCCAGAGGAAAGGAGGCCAGGGCTCTTCCACTGAAAAAGACCCGCATGTTCTCTGTTACTCTTTCCAAGCTTACAGGGATCCTAGTTCTGGAGAAAATGCTATAAGGATACTTTCAGTCTTGAGACCATGAGATGCCATGATCAGATTTTAAGATGAGCGACAGTTTTAAATGACTGCTCGTCCTTCCAGGCATGTGGTCTGGGATTCTGCCCACGGACAGGCCTTCTGCAGCCTGGGGAGGGCTCTGCGTGGGGTGCAGCGGCCTCCCGCCCCTGGGAACACCTGCTTCTCGCCAGCCCTTCCTGCAGCAGGAGAGAGAAATCGGTCTGTCTGGAAACACTTCAGAAGAAGACAGGGAAGAAACCGACATGTGGGAAGCTGGAGAAAGTTACCTGCATCCAGGCAGATTTTCAGAAAATGAGAATGATTACAGTTCTATGTGGGACAAGTTTCTCTGCTTTCCCTTTTCTGCACTGTCCTGAAAATGAGTCGGCTTTTTTTTATCTGCCAACACTGAAACTACTTCCTCTATGACACTGATGCTTTTTTTCCTGAATTCAACTGAAATTTTGTTTTTTAACAACTAGTAAAATCAAAGTACTACTATGTTTTGTATATGTTAACATCTTATTTATCATTAATAACAAAATCTGAAAGTAAATTCTACTAATACAATTATATTTATAATCTGAAAAAATAATAATTGGAAACAATTTAAGAAGACCAAAGTTTTCGTATGAATATGTTAATAGAGTATTTTTTTAAAAGTATTAGTTTTCACCAAAACAACTGTTTTTTTTGCCTGATCCCTTTTTGCTACCAAATTCCCTATCCAGCAAATTAATATATAAGCAGAAAAACAGTTTGTTTCCCATTATGGTTTTAGTTATTTTTAGAAATATTGCTCAGCCTGAGACTCCACAGGTTTAGCTGTAGAGGAAAAACACTGCGAGAGGAGGCCTGGGGTTCAGCGGCCGTTTCTGAAGATTTAAGGACAAGTCCACATGGCCCCAGAGAGCAGAACTGAGACAAGACAGCCAGTTTTTTCCCTAAGGAAAAAAGTCAAATTTTTTGCTATACTTAAAAAACACAGTTACAGGAAAAGAAACTAAGGGTTTAAAGGCTGGCAATGTTCCTGAAAACTTAAGTTAAAAACAAAGTAAACCTCCACTGTGTAGCAGATGCTCTCGGTCCCGCCCACCTTTGGTCACGTGTGGGGTCACGGTGGTGTTCCTGACGTCAGGGGCCGTGGTCGTCTGCTCCGTCTGCGCAGGGAGTTCGTGGCTGCTGCGAGGTTGTAGCGGCTGAGTAAATTTGGGGGCATGACCTTGAAAAAGGTTTTAAAAACTCTTTATTCTTTTATCCACACCAACTTGATTAAAATCAAGTTATTTTATAGTGCTTTTAATATATTTATGGCAAATTATGCCACAAATCCAGGAATATCAAATTCTCACATTTGAAGCAGGCATACCTTTGGCTATTTTTGGAGGGGCTGTAGTGTTTTTGAGGTCATTGCTGTTCCGAGGAGGTGGAGGTTGCGTAAGTTTTGGAGGACGACCTTAAAAAATGGTTTAGAGAAGTTTACACGTTTTGCTTATAAAAATCAGAGTTAAAAACAGTAATTTTAAATGTCTAACATTTCCTAGAGTACTTAATTCTGCATAGTAGTTTTAAATCTCAGAGACAAATATGTCAGAAAGATAAACATACTCTGCATTAAATGCACAAATATACTAGGAGTTCTTAGTTTTTAAATAATTAAATTGTCTAAACATAATCTTCTTAGGAAAGAGACTAATGGGGAGGTGGATGATGTTGAACACCAAAGCACAGAAGTGTCATCACTATTTGATATACAACTCGTTCAATCCATCTAATAAATATTCATGGAGGGCCCATGTGTGTCAGGGGCTACAGTAGTTCCTGGGGAGACAACAGTACACAAAGTATTAAATATTAAATAAGATGGAAGAAAGTTCTTCCCACTTTTAATTTATTCAAAGTAAAAGGCACCTAGACCGAGGTGACTGTTACAGTCATCAGTGCTTCCATGACACAAGTATGACACAGCAGAGGAGCTGTCAGAGATCACTAAGACAGAGACTAGATCTGGAAAGAATCTCACTACATTATGTCATCAGCGATGCTCTCTTTTTACTTGTAATTTTGGAACTCATTGTGATGTCTAACTTTTTTGTGTGTGTGTGTGAGGAAGATCGGCCCTGAGCTAACATCCATGCTAATTCTCCTCTTTTTGCTGAGGAAGACCAGCCCTGAGCTAATATCCACTGCCAATCCTCCTTCTTTTTTTTCCCCAAAGCCCCAGTAGATAGTTGTATGTCATAGCTGCACATCCTTCTAGTTGCTGTATGTGGGACGCGGCCTCAGCATGGCCAGACAAGCGGTGCATCGGTGCGCGCCCGGGATCCGAACCTGGGCTGCCAGTAGCAGAGCTCAAGCACTTAACCGCTAAGCCATGGGGCTGGCCCTGATGTCTAACTTTTTAATAGGATAACTATTTCTTTTAAAAATCCCTTTAAGAAGATATTGTATTTAGAGGTTAAACACACATTATTATTAACAATGTTCTCTGAGAACAGCAAGTCATTTTTAGTTAATCCAGTGAAAACAACGTGTCTTGAAGATGCTGTTGCTTTACCTTTAGGAATAAACTGACATCCAAGCAGCTCCATTTTCATGGCAATTTTCTGCTGCCACTGGGTAGGATTCACTCTGATAAAACGTGCGATAATCGGTGGCAAGAAGTTATTCCGCACATCCTGGTGATAATCTCTGTTTCCTTGAAATATCTTTAAAAAACAACAAACAATTGGTACTTTACATCAGCAGAGGTCAGGGCTACACCACTCCACTGAAATAGGACTCGTGTTTGCTCTGGGCCTTAAGTGAGATCTGCAAAGTATGACAGTGAGAACTACCTTCTAAGAAATAAATGAATCATAACTTGGAAAAACCATTAAGAAGCTGCACATTCTTCATCAAAAATATATAAAAGGAAAATATTGAATATGAAAATGATTTTAAGATGATTTAAACCTAACCAGAGGGCTAACTTGGCAATTTGGGAAGAGGGTTTCAATTGTACTGAGACAGTTCATGGTATTAATAAGTTAGTAACTCTGGTCCTGTAGAATACCAAGTATTTAAATATATTAATTTTACTTTCAAAGTAAAGCATAATTGAACATCTGAGGGCTTAGAGGAAATGCTTTACTGTGTACTTTCGTAATTTCTCTCATAAACAGACTGAAAGAGAACGTACACTAATGAACTCAGACACATATCGCCACCTACTGGAAAAACTACATAAACACAGTTTCCACTTTAGCCCTTTTCATTTCTTGTTGCTCTTTCAACCAGAAAAGTGATACTGTTCCCTGCCTAATTGAATGACCTAACTAAACAGCAACAAATGCATTACATGAATAATCCTTAGGTAAAAATATGATTTCAAGTGACTATCTCATTCCCTCGACTATTTCAAACAAATGAGGAAAGTATCTTACAGTGGAACAGCTCCTAATTATTTGCCAAGCATTTTCATATCATTAACTCAGATGCTCTTTGTGACAACACTACGAAATAGGCAGAACCCAGAAGACGGCAGCTCAGGGGACATAAGCGGCCTGCATAGCCAGCCAATGACAGGGCAGTGATGTGAAACCCGTGTCTGCTGACTTAAGCACGCGGCTCCTCTAAGCTCAAAAGAGCCCTCCTCGGGGCCTGCCCCGTGGCTTAGTGGTTGAGTGCTCACGCTCCACTATTGGTGGCCTGGGTTTGGATCCCAGGCGCGCACTGATGCACTGCTTGTCCGGCCATGCTGAGGCCGCGTCCCACATACAGCAACTAGAAGGACGTGCAACTATGATGTACAACTGTCTACTGGGGCTTTGGGGAGAAAAAGGGAAAAAAAGGAGGAAGATTGGCAATAGATGTTAGCTCAGGGCTGGTCTTCCTCAGCAAAAAGAGGAGGATTAGCATGGATGTTAGCCCAGGGCTGATCTTCCTCCCAAAAAAAGAATAAGTAAATAAATAAATATCTAAAAAAAAAAAAAAAAGAGCCCTCCTCATTCCTTTAGGTCAAACCACCTAGGTCGTTTCTAAGGACCATGAATGAGGAGACACCTGCCTAAAGGCAAAGGGGTTTGCTTTTTATCAGTTAAGTGAGAGCAAGTAAATGCTTAACTCCTCAATCAAGTCATTTCCTAATATTATAGCTATTTTCTTCCTGGCTAATTCACATGGCATTAGATTATAAACTCCTGAGATGTGTTAATATCCCTCATTTTCTAAGAGGTTTGTTTTGAAGTTACAATAATCTCCAAACTAGTAAGCTTCCACTATCTCCTCAGATATTACTCTGAAATAAAACGAAGGCAATTATGCAAATAATAATTGGAACAAACAGGAACAATAACTAAACATCATTTTAGGATATAAAAACTATCCTTGAGATCTTACTCCATATTGCAGTCTCATTTTTATAAAAAACTTAACCAAGAAAGATTTTATAAAAACTAAGTAAAAAAGATTTGCTACATTTAACCTGTGAGCATTGATTACGAACTCCTGTGTTTAGGGAGGTTTTCAAGTGTCATGAGGGTAAAGTGAAAGTTGAAGTTCCCACTCTCAAGGAACCTGAATTTTATTGGGTATTACCACACACAAATATGGCATATTATTAAAAAGCAATATACCATGAAAACAAGTTGTACATACATTCCCATTTTCTGAAAGCAAAACCCAAGGCTGTCTTGGTCTGTACATATGTGCTCATGCGTGTATGCAGGCTGGGAAAGGGCGTGAGGTGACTATGCCAGTTACCCCTGCGTTGGGGGTAGATGAGGGAGCAGACAGGATAACGTGTGAGGCGAAAGACTGTTATTTCATGTAATTCACTTGGAGGACTTCCACTTCTATCCATGGTAGACTAACAGGGACTGGATTTACCCTTCTCCTAGGACACTGAAAAATCGGATAAATGTATGAACCAATGGTTTCCAGACACTGGACAACGGGCAGCACAGGGCGATAGTCCCTGGAGAGGGGAAACAAATGAGGTGAGCCCCTCCAGTGCCCAGGACTGTCTGGAGAGCCCCTGGGCTCTCCTAGACTTGAGGAGACAGCTCAGAGACTGAGAGGCCAAGGCAGCTAGAATTTGCAGGGCAGGGTGCAGGAGAGAAGGGACTGCATGGAGAGAGAGACTTCTAGGGTTGTAGGTGTTTCCCCTTAAATCTGCCGCTGCTTATATGGAAACTACCTGTGGACGGGAGAAGAACCATGGAAAGGAGCCAGGACCACAATTCTCAGAGCCACACAGGGCACAGCTTACCAGGCCAACAGATCGAGAAGCTGTGTAACACAGGGTCAGCGGGGCAAGTACTCAGAACAGCACTAGCTCAACAGACAGAAAATCACAACTGAAGGCCACTCAGGTCCTGTCTAGCAAAGCGAGAAGGCAAGCCTTGAAAAGATCAAATGATCCCCAAGTAACTCAGCTGCATCCCAGAATAAAGCTCAAAAATATTAAAGGAGGAATAATAAAAAAGAAATCCAGCACCAAACAACATAAAGTTCACAATGTCTGGCAACCAAATAGAAACTCCCAGGCATGTAAAATATGACCCATAATACCAGTCAATAGAAAAAGACCCAGATGTGACACATTAAGAGGTGGAATTAGTTAGATAAGGGCATTAAAAGAGGTTTTATACACTCCACATGTTTTAGAGGTAAAGAAAAGCATGAGCATGTTCAAGAGAGACACAGAAAAAATTTTTAAAGCCCAAAACGGAAAATCTAGAGGTAAAAGTACAATATTGGAGATAAAAATACCCTGGACAGGATTAACAGCAGATTAGACATTGCAGAAGAACAGATTAGTTAACTTGAAGACAAAGCAATAGAAATTTTCTAAACTAGAACACAGAGAAAGATTGAAAAAAAAAAAAAAAAGACCAGAGCATCTGTGAACTGTGAGACATCTTCAAGAGTCACAATATCCATGTAATTAGAATTAAGGAGGTGATATATCTGAAGAAAAAGGGTCCAACAGTTTTCCAAATTTGATGCACATTATAACCCACAGATCCAAGAAGTTCAAAGAAGCCCAAGCAGAAAAGACATGAAGACAACCACACAAAGGCACATCATAATCAAACTGTAAAAAGAGAATCTTAAAAGTAGCCAAGGAAACAAAAGGCACATTACATATTGAGGAGCAAAGAAAAGAATGACAGCAGAATTTTCACTGAAAACAACGCCAACCAGAAATCAACAGACCAGCATGTTTAAAGTATTGAAAGAAAAAACTGTCAACCTAGAATTCTATACCCAGTGAAATTATCTTTCAAAAATAAAGCAAAAACTCTTTTTCACAAATATTATTCAATGTTGTTAGATGTTTTTATAATATAAGCATAGATAATTTTTATAATTTCAAAAAATTAACTATGTTCCACATGTATAATAAATATTATGCATATAAACATGGATGTGCTAAGATTAAAGTGGTCAAGTCTGGGGTGTTAAGCAGAAGACAGGTATGAGACAACACTGCTCTATGCTTCAGTGGTGGGGGCTCCCTAAGGATGAGGCCCAGGTGGTACCAGGCAGAAGAGAGGAAGGCAGGCCTGGTGAGGCAGCAGGAGAGTTTAGACCCACATGAAAGATGAGAAGGGAGCCCCTGGAGGCTTCGGGACAGAGATGAGAAAAGTGGTAACTGAAGCTATATTAGCAAATCACACATATGACAGAGAACTGATAGTGTTGTACCATTGAAACAAAACCCATAAGGAAGTTTTATTGAACAAATATGTTCATAATTCCAGTTCTAGATGAGAGGCATCTGCCTGCTGTGGGGACAGGGCCCCCCAGTTACAAGACCCTTGTGGTGGATCAGGGGCCAGGATTCCCCGTGAAGGCAGTACACACCTAGATGACAGCACCCTCTGCCTCCCCTCCACCCGTCATCTGATCTGGCACATTCTAGCATCATCGTGTTTTGCTAACTAAAACAACAATTTCGTAACTACTACAGAAGTTAAGAAAATTCTTCAGGTAGGAAAAATAGAAGTTTTCCAAGACCAAGTTGGTGAGGTGACCTTGAAATGACCTTCAAATCTAGACTATCCTATAATTTAATGCATTTATGTCTTTAGCTCTTTTGTTTCCCCTGCCTACAGAGTAGAAATCTGGGAATAAATTAGGCTCTCCATCATTCTGTGGGTCGTTAAGAAAAGCTTTTTAAAGATAAGAAATTAAAGTTCCTTTTTAGAATTTCTTAATAAAGTATCTGAACAACCGAGTTCAAAATGTAGTGGAAAAAAATCAGGAAAGTACTTATCCTTACATCATCAAAAGGGACACAGACACACTGAGAATTTCCTAACCATGCCTAGAAGGGTAAAGCCAATAACTAACATTACTAAAATAACTAGAAGAGGGCAGAGCAAGACCAAACGATACTTAACTTTTACATCACTTACACAGGACAGCTTCTGTGACTTTTAGCAAAGGCCCATTTTTTTAAGTGTTTTTCAAAATACCTTGTTAATCATTTTACCTTATCCTGCTCGACACCAGGCTCTCTGTACACAGTCCATCTCTGCCCGTCATCACTGTAGAGAATTCTATAGGCCGACACGTAGTAATTATGCTCCACCATGGTGGAGCCGGTCGTTACAATGCCTGAGGAGGGAGAGTCGCTTTCATTAGCACACACGGTCTGAGGTCTGATCCTTGGAGTCTGTTCAGCACTGCAGCATACACACCTAAGACGCACCGTGCCAGCATTCTTGCCTATGGCACGTTCCCATATCTAAGTGCAAGGTCTCCTCACAATGGTAACTAGATCCTTGGCTTTGTCTCCTGTAGAGACAGGGAAGAAGGATGGGCGCACATAGGAAAGGGCTATTCTACCCTGGCAGCCTGTGTTCACGTCATTGTAAAATACATTTCACCTACCGAGTAAGAATGACTTTGTGGGAACGAACAGATGGAAGATGATTATTTTCAGTACCAAAGCAAAATAAATCTAAGAAAACCAATCCCAACCAATTATTCTGACCATTTGCTAAGTTGCTCTAAATAATTAAATTTATACTCAGCACATGTAGAATATTTTTATAGCACTTAAAGTGGATCCCTGAACATAAATGTCTCTTAATGACTGTGAGAGACGGTTACTTCACAAGTCTCAAGATCCCTTACTGAAACACTACCTTGAAAGAATCTTATCACAATGAAAGAAGAACACTAATAAGAATTAAATACCAACTCCTCTCCTCTGTCATGCTTTTCATAAAAGCATCTTCAGTAATAATAACACCAATAAAGAAAACAAAGCTGTATAATGAAATTTCCAGTGACCCAATTTTCCATAAAAATCTTAGATGCCACCAGGTTCCCGAACAGAATCCGTGTCATGAGTTGCTCTAGAAGGCCGTGTCTCTCACCTGTTATCTTCTTCTCCTTGTTCAGGTCTACTTGTAACCACTGATACTCGTCAGTGGCAAACGCAGCCCATGGAGGGCCGGGCTTCTTCAGCCGGGCCTTTTCGGGCTTCCAGCTGTTCTCCTGGCCTGTGTGGTCAGTCCACTCCAGCACAGACGACGCTGTTATCTGCGGATCGGCAATCACGCCAGACTCCATCCCCAGCGTTCCATAACACCCTGAAACAAAGGAAGTTGTTTGGTTTCCAACTATAAATTCAAAATCTGTATAAACTTGCTCATTGCAAACTTTCTATCGTACCTTTAATTAGCATACACTCTGCTAATAATACACTGTAACAGAGAAATTTCAAAACCAGGCACAGGTTTCTCGGGTCTACACCTTTGTGTGATGTCTGGAAATGTACATATTTATTCACAAGCAATAGCGGTTAGTTTAACGGAGACACGTGACCCTCTCCCAGCCCAGGCTCCTCCCTCACCTCCTCCAGGTGTCTGCTCACATGCCACCTTCTCCGTGACGCTGCCCTGACCCCACCAGTCCCTCCTGCATTGCCAAGCCTTCTTGTTCTGTTTTCTACATCTTCTATAATACTATAAGCAATAATTGACCTATTCACTGTTTACTGTCAATCTTACTACCGGAATGTAAGCCCCAAAGAGCAGGACTTGGTGTGTTCTGCTCACTGCTGCCTCACTAGCACCAGATGCAGCCTGGGAGATGAGATGAGGCACCCAGTGAACACGTTCTGTCGAATGAATTCACTTCTTCTACAGACAAGTTCAAAAATCGCCTTTTCAAAGAAACTTTCCTTGCTTACGGGACCATTTCCCTATTTAAGCAAAACCTCCAGTTGGTTTCATTCATTGTGTTATTAAATACTCATCTGACCTCACAGTGTTGTTGTGACAATGAAATGAGAAAGGGCACCAACAGCCGCTGGCACAGGGCCTGACATACAGTGCTCCATAAACTGTAATAAGTTATAAAGTCCATGAAAGGCTTACCACTGGTCTTAAATGTAAAAAGGCTGGTAGACAAGTGTCCCCTGAAAGAGAGAAAGGCTTTTTGGTGACACTCACATAACACATGGCTTCCCCATATTTATCTCAGTAAAACTTTTTCTCTTGTTTTTATTTTACTGTATAAAGAAGTAAGAAAATTCTCTGCCTACATATTAGACAACTGATACTGTTCCTAGCAAAAAAGGTCTCATTTCTTTTTTTTTTTAAATTTTTTGTTTATTGCAGTAACATTGGTTTATAACATTGTATAAATTTCAGGTGTACATCATTATACTTCTATTTCTGCATAGATTACACCATGTTCACCACCCAAATACTAATTACAACCCATCACCACACACATGTGCCGAATTATCCCTTTCACCCTCCTCCCTCCCTCCTTGCCTTCTGGTAACCACCAATCCAATCTCTGTCTCTATGTGTTTGTTTATTATTGTTATTATCTACTATGTAATGAAGGAAATCATACGGTATTTGACCTTCTCCCTCTGACTTATTTCACTTTGCATAATACCCTCAATGTCCATCTATGTTGTCACGAATGGCTGGAATAGAATCGAAAGCCCAGAAATAAACCCACACATCTATGGACAGCTAATCTTTGACAAAGGAGCCAAGAACATACAATGGAGAAAAGAAACTCTCTTCAACAAATGGTGTTGGGAAAACTGGATAGCCATATGCAAAAAAGTCTCATTTCTAAGCAAAACAACTTCTGAAATCAGCATAAACAACTTTCTCTACAAGCATCTAGTTCCTGGTTTCATGCACGATCGTGCAAATGTGTCCATGTAACCTTTAATGTGTACTTATTTCTTTTTCGTGAAATAATTGACTCCTAATACTTTTCTGTGGCTCTGGGGACAGTACACTGAAGGGTATAATTCTCAGAGAACGAGGCTCCAGTCTCCTGGGTGAAGAGAAGACAAGCTGGCGATACTGATATGGGAGACTGCATCTGGGACAGGAAAGCAACGTCTCAGACGACGAGTTTCAGAGCTACAGGCAGCAGCGCGTTTGGGTTTCAAAGTGACATGCGGAACAGGTGCAGTGGGGAGCATGGAGGGGGCCGGCAAGGAGCTCACCACAGGCAGGTCACAGGCCCTGAGGAACCTGGAGGGACAGAATCACTGGGGCACACTCCTGCCGCTAGCACAGCATTCAAATCGTTACAACTGGACTCAGCCCAGCCTTATTTTTTTTAAATATAAAGAAGAGAATTCACGAAAACAAAAATTCTCTCCAAAGGAAGGAATGAAAGGATCTGCAGAAAAGCATGTGAAGAACCAAGAATGATGGGGGCTGACTCCACCAGGACGTGCAAACGATGGCCCATGCGTGGCCTGCCGTGTACAGCCAGTGCGCTAAGAATGGTTTTTACGTGGTTAGAGCTGTAAATAAAACAAAAAAGAAAAAGTGACGGAGACACGTGGCTCATAAAGCCACAATATCTGCAGGCTGGTCCTTTACAGAAAGTCTGCCGATACTGCTTTCTACTGTCCTGGGTGCGGGTCATGCTCCCGTCTTCTGAATACAAACTGGCCCCACACCTCTCAAGAGAAGCTGCTTTCAATGAGGCTCAGTACTGTCTGCCGTACTGGGCATATCAAGAGGCAAGATTTACAAAACCAACTGGGAGTACTGCATTTCTACTTAAGCTTTCAACTTCTCCCACTTCTGATGTCTAGTCTAAGCTGTGTACAACAGTGGAACATTGTAGATACCATGAAAATACATTCTTAAAACATTCTCTTGGGATGAAAGGGATTCATAATAAAACTACTTCTGATTTATGTCAAAATTTAATTTATATTCAAAGTATTTCAATTATCCTGATCCATCTGGGTCACACAGGCTATAAGGACAGAGTAGACATGCCTCCTGATCTTCAAAATGAAGTAAGGATTTGGGGAACATACTTCTCGACTTTCACTCCAGGTTTTTCCAACACTTAGAAAAGAAAGAAACAAGCCACTCTTCCAAATGACGTTTCTGATGGAGAACAAGCTGAGGTGGTGTGACCCGGCCGCAGCCTTCGATCCCGAGACACGGAGCACCTGCAGTGTGAGGGCTGGCCGCACACGTCATTTCCCGGACACCTCGGACAGGGGCACTGCGGATGCTAACTAGCCCCCACCCACCGCCCAGCATGCTGACTAGGAAGAGCACGCCTACTCACACCACGGACGTGACGTTGTTGGCCAGAGAACTTGCATAGTACGGGATGCCTTTGCTGATGACAACACTGATCTGGCCGCCCAGGACGTTTGACACCACGCCTGCGTGCACACCAGCCATGCACAATGGCGAGGACTGCATGACAGGAGAAGACAAGGTTTGTTTTTAATTCTCTTTTGATAATTTACAAATAGGACACACTTCCTCAAGAAACGAGGTGATCTGGGAAGTTTTCTCAATAAACATGGGCTAGATTATTGATGTTGTAACATAGAACATATTTTTAGCAGAAGAAAAAAATAAAACGTTACATACTTTAAAAAAGAAACAATTCCTAAAAAATAAAAATCAAGATAAAGATACACAATAGGTCACATCTACCTATGATACAATAGGTAGATGTTCTATCACAACTTGAACGTAAGTCTACATCCCACTTACGTCTCTATATCCATGAGGGATTGTTCCAGATATCTCAGCAAAAGGAAGCAGACAACCAGCTGGGCAGTACTTACTGCAAAATGAAAACAGGTTAAAGGGCATATAACGCTATACTTTCTGGGGAGAAAGACCAAAAAAAAATCACACATCCATTTTTCAGTTCAGTGTAGACTCCATAACCTCCCCCGAGAGAACCAGCACTTCTAAAAGGCCCGTCCCAACTTCGCTCCCTCCATCCTCACATTCGTCTCCACCCAGGTTTACAGAAACTGTCTCATGTCCTGCATATGTTTTATTTTACCGCATGAGGAACGGCAGACATGTTTCTACTGTACCATCTATGTATCATATTTAATAGCTACATGATATTCTATTTGGTGCATAAACCATGACTTACTTTACCCACCCTCTATTGATCAAATTTAAGTTGGTCTAAAAAATGTCTGGCATTCATTCATTTATTCACCCACCCACCCATCCAGCACACGTACCTGAATGTCTACCACCTCGGCTGCTGAGTGCTGGGGAGCCCTGGGCTTACAAACGTCAACCAAACCTGTCCTCAAGGGGCTCACATCCCCATGTGAGGAGGCGGGGGGAGGACCTTACACTGACAGTTACACAAACAATTAACTAGACTGTGATTCTGCTGTGAGGAAAAAGCACTCCATGGAATAATGGAGCAATCTGACTCAATAAATGTAATACAGACGTTCCGTAAACGCATACGTGCCGGGCAGCGTTCAGGGGCTTCAGGGAATCCAGAGGAACCCTATGCGGTGGGTACTGCTATCATTCTCACTTACAGATGAGGAAACTGAGGAACCGTGTGGCAGATGGGCTCCAGGATCCATGCTCATACCCAGGGCTCTGCACTGCCTGCTCAGGGAACGGGGCTCTAGGTAGTGCAGCTCTAGCAGGGAACTAACGGCTGTCCCCGGAGTAAGTGGAGGGAAAAGAAACGCACCCAGATTGCAAGGAACAGCGCGCCCCAGGGCAGGCTTGCCTGTGGGGGTCAGGAGCTGAGGACCAGGGCAGGCAGAAGGTAAAGCTAGTTTGAGAAAAGGCTAGAGAGGTGGGCAGGCGCCAGACCACACAGAGGCCCTGTGCACTAGGGCCAGGAGTCAGGAATATATATCTAACTAAAAACAGGAAGTCAATAAAGGATTCTGACAGCTTATATATGTAATCTGAGTCATATTTTTTAAAAAAAGTCTTGTGGCTCCTGGGAAGAACAGATTGTAAGGAACCACACGTGGACGCTGGGGCAGCATTAGGCAGAGAGTACAGTAATCTGGGAGAGAGAGGATGGCAGCGTGCATGTGAGTGGTGACGATGGCGCTGGAGAGTGGAGGGCACGAGATGGCTGACCCTCTGGCAGGCTGAGTGCCATACAGACGCCAGGGTTCCCTCTGCTGACCAGGACCCCAACAAGTGCTGAGGAGCGCGCCTATCCCACACAGAGAACCATGCTTGAAGACAAAGCAAAGGTTCTTTGGGGAGTGGTAGCAAGTCGGGGGGAGGTTAGCGAGATGGGTCTCAGAAGAAGAGAATGATTTTGCCCAGCAGAGAGGAGTAAAGGTATTCCAGGTGGAAGTTCTGAGAGCTCAGAGTAGCGTAAATGATGCAGAGCCGTTTCAGCATGAGTAATGAGATGAGGCTGGAAAAGTGGCCCAAGGACGACTTGTGAAGGATCCTGAAAACCAGACTAAGGAATCTGGACGACTTTTTGTCTTAATTAGGAGCTCCTGAAGGTTTTTAAGCAGGGGAATGATGAGATACACATCTTAGAAAATAAGTTGGCAGCCATGTGAACGGCAGAATAAAGCCAGCAAAGGTTAGAGGTGGGAAGTCGATGGGAAGTTCATTCTAGTCTGGGTAGGAGATGGCATGAAGCAGGGAAACAGCAGAAATGCTGCCAGGGCAAGACACAGAAGAATTCTCGAGTAGCCTAAATCATTCTCTTCTCTTTTGTGAGAAAAAAATAAACAGCTCTTCTATCTTTATTAGTGGTTTTGCCAGAGTTTGAAGAGCGACTAGTTCTCAAGTATATTAAAATTATACTTTCATTGTGGAGAAGATCCAAATGCTACACTTAAAGCAAAATTTAAACACGGTGACTCAATGGCTTTCACAAGCTCTGATAATGAAGTCTCAGAACATGACTGTGTCGCACCACGTCCACGAATCTAAGTGTATAAAGAATGAGGATGAAGTAGACGAGGAGTAGCATTTAATAAAAAAAGTCACAAATATGGTCATACCTGAACTCAGGTTCCAAAAAACTGGATGCAGTGTCTAAACAAGTAATTAGATCTAGAAAAACAAAAATGAAAAACGGATTCAACAATACGTAGGTTTACTCTTGCTGGAACACCAACTGTTTCCAAATCCCAAGTTGTATTGTCCTCAATTTCAAAATCTCATCGGCTGTCAAGGTAGTACTAATAATTTTTCACACATCTTTGTTAATCACGATTTCTTTCTAATTGTAAGTCTCTTGATTTCTGGGACCATGTCTCTCAATACTGTTTACCACCACATCACCTCATACAATCACATGTCATATATAGAAGGTACACTTATAAATTATAGTGTATAGCCCTAAAATGGTTTCTACAAAATACAGCCCCTGAAACAAAGAAAAACTATTTCTTAGTTATCATATGACTAAAAATGACCCTTTGCTGGTTACATACAAGGAAAATGATGACAAAAGAGAGGTGAGTTAATTCTGTGGCTCTGAATACTGCTCCTCAAAATCTGGTCCACGGACAGGACCAGGAGCAGCATCTTCTGGGAACTTACTAGAAATGCAAATTCTTGAACACCATCCAGACTTACAGAACCTCTGGGACTGGGGCCCAAAAATCTGTTTTAACAAGTCCTCCAGGTAATTCTTAGGCACGCTGAAGTTGGAGAAATACTGCTCTAAATAAGACAGAACTTGAAACATTTCCTATCCAGAAATCAACAAATCTGAGTAAGAGCTAACGTGTTTCATTAAGACCTAGTTCACAGGCTGTATAAAAGGTGGCTTTTGGTTCCAACATTTCAATGGCTTCTTTCTGTGCTTAGGGCAGAGGGCAACGTCCTCCACACGGCCCACACAGTTGGTCCTGAAGACCCCACATGTCTCGCCTCGGCTTCTGGCCACACGCGTCCTCTTTCGGCTCCTCTGGCACACGTGGCTCTCGGCCTGGAAGGCTTTCCCGCCAGCCTCAGGCAAGCTGACTCCTCCCTAAGACCTCAGCTTACCTGTCGCCTTCTCAGAGGCTGGCCTGACCTTTGCAGGTCAGGTGCCTGTAGCACGGGCAGGCACTTCTGTTAGTTTTAATGGACAGGTGACTACTGTGCGTTCTCACAGTACCGCGTGTTATGAGAACCATCTGTCGATGCGTGACAGAGTTACTGACAACATCACTGTATGATGCCTGGTCTACACAGCAACTGTGGCTATCTGTCCTCACCTGTGTGCCACCAGCAGCCATCACAGCACGTGGCATAACAGGCAGCTTCCAGTCAACAGTTATTGAATAAACGGATGAGTAACAGTTTCTGAATGCCGGCATGCCTGGCTAAGTCTGATCGTGTACTCACCCAGAGGGAGGAAAACCTGGACAAATGCTGGGCCTCAACCGTGCCAAGGGCGACAGGCACCCTGATGGAGCGTGCGCCCACGTGCCTCCTAGCACACCGATGGCACACAAATACACTACATTAATGGCCACTGGATAACTGATGATTCTATCTTACAACTCTGAGGAAGTTACATGTTTATTATTCCCCGAACTGTGTCCTGAAAGAACTCAGCATAACACTGTTGCACCCACAGGAAAGTGGTACTCTGGTGGTGGGCACACAGCACAGGACCTGAATGATGACTATGTTAAACTGTGCTTAGGAGTCTGCGAGGCTACATGCCTGGGCAGGGCTCACTATACCTGGCTGATGACGGGGAGAAGCAGACAAATGGACTTACCTACACTCCAGCCATGCCCGGCAATCTCTACACGTCGGTAAGAACTGACTTTCCACCAAAAGAGTTCCCAGCTTCTCAGATTATGAACTTCTCAGATTAACAGCCTGGGATGAAAATGTGCCTGTGTGGTGCAGCAGGGCATGTGCCAGATGCTGGTCCACTAAGGATGCACTTGCTCAGGGCACAGCTTTACCCCAAGTCCACGTAGCGCTGAAACCCAGGTCACGCCACACAAGTGTGTGCAACTCGCCTGACCCTGCTCTCCGATTCCACCGGGGCTCAGAAGAGCTCCCCAGGAGGAAAACAGGAATTCAGAACAGACAGCTACAGGGAGAGCTGAGATGACTAAAGGCAAAGAGAGGAAGTCATCATCACTGACTTCGATGTTTACAGCTCCACAAAGGCAAAGAAAACACCAATTATGCAGGGAATTTAAGAAGCTCTGAATAGTGTCTTTCTTGAAAGCTTTTCCCAAGTAAACAGCCTTCCAGAAAACCACTATGACTACAAGGCTCCCAGATAATAAGAACAGAGCCCAGCAAGATACATACAGCTCAGGGAGGCCATTCGCCTCAGCGACTTCTGATAGCAAGGTACAAGAAGTTATCACAGTGAGTGGAGCAGAACTGAGAGCCTAGAAACAAATCCTCAAGTTTACAGTCAGTTGATTTTGACAAGGAGGCCAAGACAACTCAAAGTGGGGGAAGAACAGTCTTTTTAACAAATGGTGCTGGGACAACTGGATATCCACACGCAAAAGAATGAAATCGGACCCCTACCTCACATCACACACAAATTCACTCAAAGTGGATCTAAATTTAAGAGCTACAACTATAAAACTCTTACAAGAAAATATAGGCGTAGGTCTTTTTTTTTTTTTTGGCAGGGAAAGATTCACCCTGAGCTAACATCTGTTGCCAATCTTCCTCTTTTTTTATCCCCCTGCCCAAAGCCCCAGTGCATGGTTGTATATATCTAGTTGTAAGTTCTTCTGTATGAGCTGGCACCACAGCATGGCTACTGACAGATGGGTGGTGTGGTTCCACGACTGGGAAACGAACACGGGCTGCCGAAGCAATGAGCGCGCCAAACTTTAACCACTAGGCCATCAGGGCTGGCTCTATAGGTGTCAATCTCGACCCTAGATTAAGTAATGGTTTCTTAGATATGACACCAAAAGCATAAGCAACCACATAAAAATACATAAATTGAATTTCATCAAAATTAAAAACTTTTGTGCTTCAAAGGACACTATCATGAAAGAGAAAGATAACCCACAAAACGAGAGAAAATATTTGCAAGTTATATACCTGATAAGGATCTAGTATCCAGAATACATAAAGAATTATTACAACTTGACATTAAAAGCACAAATAACCCAAATTAAACATGAGCAAAGAATCTGAAAGACATTTCTCCAAAGAAGATATACAAATGGCCAATAAGCGCATGAAAAGATGCTCAACATCCTTAGCTATCAGGGAAATGTAAATTAAAATCACAGTGAGATACCACTTTATACCCACTAGCTATAAAGAAAGGCTAGAATCAAAAAGACAGATAACAACAAATGTTGGCAAGGATTTGGAGAAACTCGAACGCTCATACACTGCTGGTGGGTTTGTAAAATGATGCAGCTGCTTTGGAAAATGGTCTGGCAGTTCCTGAAAAGGGTAAATACAGAGTTACCATATGACCCAGCAATTCCACTACTAGGTATACACCCAAGATAACTGAAAACATATGTCCACACAAACACTTATAACACAAATGTTCATCAACTGATGAATGGATAAACAAAATGTGAGAAAAAAAGTGGAAAATCCATACAATGGAATATTATTTGGCCATAAAAAGGAATTAAGTACTCATATACAGTACAACATGGATGAGCTTTGAAAACAAGCTAAGTAAAAAAAAACAGTCACAAAAGACCACATACTATATGATTTCATTTATATGAAATGTCCAGAATAGGTGAATCTATAGAGAAAAAAACAGATTAGTGGTTACCTAAGACTGGAGGGGTTAAGGGGCAGAGAATGGGGAGGGACTGCTACTGACCATGGGGCTTCTTTTGGGGTGATGAAAATGTTCTAAAATTGACTGTGGTGATGACTGCACAACTCTGAACATATGGAAAGTCAATGATTTGTATATTTTAAGTAGGTGAATTGTATGGTGTGTGAATTATATCTCAATAAAGCTATTATAAAAACTTAAAAAATAAAGAAAAAGAAGCTATCATGAAAGTAGTAACAATTTCCTTTTCTCTATAGCACATGTGCCTGAATGGATGAAATCAAGCTAGTAAAAGACAGAGCCAGGATTGGCAGTGCATTTGTTTATACATTTGTTCATTCACTCATTCAACAAACACCTAATAAGCATGTATTATGACCAGGCATTGTTCTAGGCACTGGAGATGGAGCAAAGACCAGTCAGACAAAAATCTCTGCACATGGGGAGTGCACCTCCTATGGGGATGAGAGAGAACAGACGATATGAGAAAGAAAACTACGGAGTGTGTTAGTGGGTGATAAACAACGTTGGAATGACAAAGGAAGGAAGGCAGTTAGGAAAAGTTAAGGGGTTGTGATTTTAAGCAGAAGGCAGGGTAGGCCACACTGAGAAGGCGGCATCTGAATAAAACTGCGACAGGTGAGGGGCAGGGGTGAGGTGTGTGGGTAACTGGGAAGAGGCAGAGGGGTACCAGGCTCCAAGAGGGCATGTGCCCAGCGTGCCTGAGGCCAGAGTGAACCAGGGGGTAAGAGCAGGAGACGCAGTCAGATGAGTGAGGAGCCTCTACGTCTTGGAGGTAAGGACATTGGGCAGGGTGGGAAGGCACCTTCATTTTAATAGGACCCTCCTGACTACGGGCTGAGAGTAGACTGAAGGCGGAAGGGCAGAGACAAGGACCAGCTGGGACTCTCCTGCCGCAACTGAGGCAGGAGTGGGTGGTGGCAGCGGGGAGGTGTCCAGCTGCGGTCAGATTCTCACGTCCGGACGTATGTGCTCCGGGCAGCGGCTGATGGAGATGCAGTGTGAGAGAAAGAGAAGCGTCCAAGGTAACTCGGAAGTTTCTGGCCTGAGCAAGTTAAAGGATGAACTAATCACGTATAAAGTGCTTAGGGCAGTGACTATAGTAATAAATACTGACAAAGCGCTGTCCAATGGCTTATGCTGGATCCACTTAACATGACCTGCAACACCAGAAAGTCAGTGACATGTTCGAAGTGCGGGGCAGTACACAACTCACTCCACTCTCAACTAAGAGCTTCTGCACGCCATTTTAACTAAGTACTTAACACATACTAAAGAACACTTATGACAC